TTTTAAATTAGGATTTTTACTTATTTGTTATAAATCGGAAAAAATAAAATAAGTTTGTCTGATTTTAACTTTGAAACTTCCTAATATTAAAATTCATACATAATAATAACTTACTGAAATTGTAAGGATTAACTATATTAAGACCAATCGAAGTAAACATGTAGTCTGGAATTGCAAATACTCTATCACCTCTTGTTTTTTCACAAATATAGTTGATATGAATTGTCTTTTCTTTAAAAGTTGCTCGTTATTAACGATAGACCAAAGACTAATTTTGCTATCTTTGTCTAATGTGTGATTGTACCCGGGTAAAGTTTTTTGCATGAATAACATAGTATTCATCTGGGTCAACCCGGGTATTTAATAATACCCGGGTAGTGATTTTCTCAACGGGTACAAACTCTAGTCTAATGCAGCAACATGTTTCATATTAGGCGAGCAAACTATATTCAAAATTTTACTTTTATCTGGAGCTTCCTCGATTGTAATTTCATGTACTTTATTATCTTTGAAAAAATTAATTTGTTTTATTTTTAAAATATTTCTATAACGATAATCGTTATAATAAAAATTTTTAAGATGGAATTGGACATTTCAACTAAATATCATACGCAAATAAATACAGTATTTAATATTGGTACATTGTGGCAATGTTATATCACTTTGGGCTTAAAAATGTTATTTTGTTTCAATATTACAAAGGATCAGTGTAAAAATTCAACTATGAAATTATGTTCTTTCTGCGCACATATTTACTAGAAAAGCGGTGGCGTTTTGTGGGCTGGAGCTTTAAGTCTCAGTTCTTACACTTTAGAATTAAATTTATAATATAGTTAAATTTTATTAATATTTTTATTTACAAGATTAATGTAATAAATTCCTAAAAGAAAGTAATCTTTGTTCCTCTATTAATCCTTGTTGCCAAACGTTCATTTTGTCCAAATTTTTCTAATCTGTCAAAGGAAAATGAACAATCGAAAGATCAGTAAGGGCTTTTCAAGCAACCATCTTGATATGGTTAACAAAAATTTTAATTTATGCAAAATTATAAAGCAATTGAAGTTTTCTCAAACATCATTTTCGATGCTATTTGCTAGTCATCGTAATTGCTCATTGATTATAATCAAAATAGAAATTGAAGCCGATATTTGAGCAACTCCTTATTGATTTTCTACGCTTATTATTATCGTCGAAAAAAGGAAACCATCCAGCGAGAAATAACAGATGCTACCGGCTTTCAAAAACAATCTTGCAAAGCATTTACTTCAGTTGTCTCTATTTCTCCAAAGAGCAATACGAAGTGTCGCCAAAAAAAATCATAACCTCATCAGTTAAATAGGAAAACATCGACCCATAATCCAATAGTTTGGATCTTGTGGAAATTGAATTATTTGAATCAAACGAAAATATCAGTTAAGGCTAAGATGGCATCTGTGATTGATTTTTATTTTTCATAAAATCTTCTAATACAATTAATAATTCGTTGTTCCAAGAATGAAGTTCCATAGCAAAGTTACTTGAGAGATCTCTTTGAATATCTCTTTGAATATTCGATTAATGGTAAATTTTCTTCAGTATAAAAAAGAAGCTTGTAAATGAAAATAATGGGGGTTTCATAATTAATGATTCGACACCTAATTTAGAATAAATAATACAAGATTTTTAAAACTCACTTATTTTTGAAATATGTTATTTTAATAATAAAATATTTTATTTACGCTTTTATTACAATAAACTACAAATTAATGACATAATAACCAGCTAGTTATTACAGTATTTTAAAGCGTAAATTAAAGTTTTTAAATTATGACTTAAGAAAAATTTTAACATTACTGTTACAATTGATAAAATCTATAAAAGTGAAAACTTTGAGTATTGTTATCACTTGTGGAATTGATAAAGATTAAATGGTGTTCGAGATCTGGGTAAATATATTTGTTGCTTTTGTTTTATCATTACGGTGTTTCATAATTAGAAATTAGCTTATTTCAAAAATAAGTAGGAGTTTAAAAATCTTGTATTTTAAATTTCAAAAAGGGATTATAGTTGTTAGGCGAAACTATGTGATGCTAATCATCGCATAGCCACAAATAGTAACATGTTAATAGGACTAATATTATTAACATGTGGCTATGTGATGATTAGCATCACATAGTTTCGCCTAACAACTATAATCGGGTTACAAATAAACATACACTTAAAAATAAAATGTAATTTTAAGCCACTTATTTCGAAATAAATACGTCACGTATTTCATTCGAAATCAGGTGTCGAATTATGAACCCCCCCACTATCAAAAGCATAAAATCGATTAAAATAAGTAAATTGTTAAATGGTGTACTTGTTTATATCACTAGGCGTCTTGGCAAAAAGGTGAACTTTTAATCCTTTTTATTTTAAGCAAATTTATTACACCTGGTTATTGAGAATCTATTTATTACCTTTATTTATATATGGATGATATCTTTATTCTTTATGATTAGGTTAAGTGGTGAGGTTTCTCTTGCAGAATACAAGGGAAACAAGGTTGCCGGTGTTTATCTATTATTTGATTACTTCCTATGTTTACTGTGAAAATTAAAAACCTATCTATTTTCCATTTTCACAGTCAAGCAATTCAGTAATGATGTTAAGAAGGAAATAATCGAGGAAAATAAAAAAACTTAAATCTTAAAATGTAATTGAGTTCTGTGGAGTGGTAAAATCCCTAAATGATAGAACTTATTTGGTCACGAAATTCGCAGAGAAGGGAAGCCTACGCGATTATAGTGGATAAACATTTGATATTAATGTTTGCTGACTTCTGTATGAGTAAGAAATTACTTGTATTTTTTAAAATAAAAATATTATCAGTTAATAATATTATCGTTATTGCAATCCATACTATATTACAGGTTGTGCTTGGACAACGTTGTACAATGCATCGATGTTAATCATATTACGCAACAATATAAATAAGGCGTATTTTAGAGACCAAACAAGTTCCAAAGATGAATGAAAATTATGACTTTTTTTTAAGAAGTATGATACATTTTACTTTTTGTAACTTATATTAACTATGATATATTAACTAACACGTTTTACTTTTAGTTGGTGTGGATGGTAAAAGGAGAGTTGGTAAATCATGTCTTATCTCTAAATTTGCGGAAGAGGATTTTAATAATGGAGAATATAAAGACACTTTGCATGTATATGTCACAACCACGCATATTCGGCTAAATAATTACACTATTAAAGTAGAATTTTTGGAAGCCGGTATTAATTATTCTTATAATTAAAGTAGTATTATTTTACTGTTAGTTGGATTTTTATAGTCACTAGCCGTTATTTAATGTTTAATAATTGTCATTGCTGATGCTGAAATTTTAAATACTTTAATATGAAATTTACAAAAAATTTTGGGGTGCATTTTTTACGATTTTTTTTTATAGTTAGATTAAATTTAGGGATAGAATTGATAATTAAAGAGTAGATGTGAATTTTAGCAGTGCTTATATTTTCAAATCATGACCCAAATTTCAGCATCAGTCGCGACAATAATAATTTGCTATACAATCCAATTTAACTTTGTAACAGTGTTTATTTTTCACGTGCGCTGATCCAATCACTTTTAATTATTTTTTTCTTGCAATTTTGTAGGATGGAATCTCAGGCCAGATAAAAAGTGAGTTTATAATGCATTATACTTTTTTTTTCTTTTTTTAAAAAGATAGAAGTTTTTTACAGTATAAATATTATAGTTATTATAGTTATATCGATGGTGCTATACTTGTTTACAATATGTCTGACACTGACGGATTAAATGAAATAATCAAACTATCACGCGAATATAGTAGCTATGTGACTTATAAAATTCCTATCATGATTATTGCAAACAAATTGGACAGATGCAAGAATATAAATAGAAAAGACCTTTTAAATGAAGTCAAAAATTCTGTTGGTAAATATAATGATGTAAATAATTTGATATCGAGTAGAATTTTAATTATTAATTATTATCCTTGCACGAATTAATATTCAGGAGAGGAATTTTTATTTAATGTAACCTCAATTTACGAGAAGACTAGTAATAAGCTCAATAAAATCTTAGAAGGTATTTTATATCATTAATTCAAGAATAGTGAATCAAATTATTAATTAATATTTATCAATTTAGAATGCATATCTAGGTTCTCGGATTTTAAAGGTAAAATTTAAAATAAAGTTACAATTCTTTTATTAGAATTATCAATACATATATATTAATCTATGATATATATATATATTGTAATTTAGAAATCAATAATCTAAATGAACTGACTGTTCCAAGTAACCAATTTAAGTCTATGATGGAATACGCAACACGGTTATATTCATTTGAGATTCAGAAGAAAGTATTTATGATAGATGAAAAACAAATAGAAGGATTAGCAAGTGAAGGAATAAAATTATTTTTATCGCTAGTACGTACCAGTATTCAAATGTAAAATTTTATTTGCATTTTCATTATTATATAAATAATATTCCTTTATTAATTGCATTAATTATTAGAAGGTGGATACAAATTTTGATATTTATTTTTATTAAGTCGGGATTTCGTAATAAATAGAATACACTAA